CGTGAAGCGAACTACGGCAACAACAGCAGCACCAGTCACTACAACAACAACAACAACAACTGTATTGCAATGCGCACTTTGGCGGTCAAAACTTTCAACATTAGCACTTAATTTACTGATGCTACTTAATGAAGTCTACACTTGGCTAATTTACGCGAAACGCGTTTGCCTCTCGCATGTGCATGCGTGTGTGTGTGTGCAGCTTTAAGCTCCTTGTTTTATTTGCCAACAATTTTTTTTCCACGTCTCACTTCAGTTCATTTTTGATATGAGAAGAAAACATTACAAATACTTTAATTCAATTTAATTAAAATTTTTATCAATAAATTACAGTTGTATTCTGAACTCACTTGCCTCTGACTCATAGATATACGCAGAAGCTACGATTACATATATGTAAATATGAATCGAAATGGGTTATAGAATGAGAAATAATAACAAATTCCTAGTAGTGAGTGCCTTATCTCTCTTCACTCAACGTTGGCCATTCCGATAAGGAAAAAACAGGAATAATTTACGCTATATATATACATATACATGCATATACATATGCACAAATCATAACTTCAGTAAATCTCCAACAGCAACTGTCGCTCAGTTCTTTGAGCGATTTGGTTGGCTTTGGTTGGGTCGGGTGACGTTCGGTCTGCGATATGGTCTTCAAATGTCCAAAGCGCGCCACACATTTGTTCATTGCGTTGCTATCCATATTTATCTCAATGGCTGGCATTGTGTGCGTCGATCGATTGCCCCAAGAGCTTAAGCAGGGTAAACATCAAATTGATAACAAATAGCAATGATAACAACAACAACAACAACTAACAAGATATGAAATTCCAGATCAGCTGATTGTGAATCACATTTGCCTGCTGCAGATAATTGCGAGCGTTCTATTAATTGTGGGTTCCCTCAAGGTGAGTTGCCCCACAACAACTTTTGTATATCTACATGTGTTTAATGTTATGTTCCTCTTCTTCTTCGCAGCGCAAGCATTGGTTTTTCGTGCCTTGGCTGCTGATAGCAGCTCTATTCGCTTATACCTTGATTTACAAGAGCATAGGCTATTGGCTAAGTGCGTGGATCGGTATCAGGGCTTCCCTGACAATCGTATGTCTGCTTTACATTATAGCAGGTGAGATATTTTTCTATAAATATATTCCGATTAATATTCAAAGAACAACCAGAAGTTGATATTGAATGTATATATTATTATTTATATTATATTCCCAATGTCTCGCTTAGGTTTCTGGCTTTACTACATCTACGCCGTATATCAGGACTTTCGGAACAGTGCTGCACAGACATCTATGGATGATTCGATTCTTTTGAAGCGGATGGTTTCAAATATCGATAGTATCGATGGTGATTTCGAAAATAGCTTCAATATTCAAAATTGCTGAAAATACAGAAAAAAAGAATCAATTTTATAAACAATAATCTTTAAGTTAAAATATACTTTAATAAATTGCCTACAAGAGAATAACATTAACCAGGTGGGGCCTCCAAAGTGTGTGCCACCTGTAACGGTCGCGACGTCGCACTTTTGATGTCTGCCAGCGAATGGGACATGCGAAAGTGTGAAATGCAATTGAGCTGGAAAAGAACACGCAAACGATGTCGACGCTTGTGCAAATTAGTGTGAACATTGCGGTTAAGTGGGTGTGAGTGCTTCTCGCTGTATGTGTGTGTGTAACCGGAAGCGTAGCCAAAACTAAAATAAGCGTTAAAATGTCTGCCAAAGAAGTGAAGTCGCAGTATCAGCTGCGGCTGTGGCTGTGGCTGTGGCATGCGTTTTTTGAGGGGAGCCCACGTTGCATGCGTATTGCATTACCAGTGTGTACCCACAACAAACACACACACCCACATATACTGAGTCAGGGTGCACCAAAGTGGCATATGAATAGATACATGCTTTGTTGTTTGTTTGTCTGTCTGTCCGCGCCTCTGCTCGGCTGTCTGTTTGTCTACCCATGGCTGAGTTGTCGTAATCCAGCAAGCAGACAGGTTAAATACACCGCAAGGACAGACCACACACACACACACACATATATATATACACTGAGCGTAAAAATGGGAGCACAACGAGTTAGGATAGAGTGGCAAAGGCGGCAAACATGTTGCAACTGTCGCGGCGCTGCGGCATGCAGCAGCCAGCAGCGGGCCAGACACAGCCAACAAACAATAATAATGCAACAATAGTGCGCGCCACAAACAAATTGCTTTTGTGTGTCTGCCTCTCTCTCTCTCTCTCTCTCTCTCTCTGTTCAGTCTCACTTGCAGATTAGTTTCGTTGTAAATTTTTATTTGCCTTTCTAGACAAAAGGCGCAGAGGCGTAGTCCGCCGCGCGCTGCTCTGAAGGGGCTGCAATTAGCTGAGCCAAAACTCATACAAAAGTCGTTGCTGCGGGCCGCAACTTCGATTTGCCCTATTCAATTCTAGCTCTCCCTCTCTCTCTCTCTCTCTCTCGCTCTCTACTACGCCACTGTGCAGCTGTCTGGTCTAAGCTTTTGTTGTCTGCAAAGTTTGGCTTTGACACAACACACCGACACACACACACCGACACACACCTGCAAAGTGGGCGGGGCGCCACCCCACCTCCCTCGCACCCATGCAAAAGCAGCCAGATCCATTCATTGAAACGAGTAAACTTGCTCAGCTGAATTGAAAATTAACTATAAATTTAGATGGCAACATGCTAAACTCGATCTGTCCACGGCACGGGTGCCTCACTGTGGCAGGTGTCAACAACTGGTAGCTCCGTTGACACCTCAGCAACAACGAAATTTAATGCGCATACCCCATCCAAGAGTTTCCAATACAAAAATTCATTAAAAACGCCAGCTTGAAATGAAACAAGTGAAAGCAGAGCAAGCGGGCGGAAGCGACTGCTGAATGCTCTACAATGTGTACATTGATTATATTATATATATTTTGAGTTATACTCTCAATTGTTACATGTATAATTACATTTCACTTCGATGATGGAGTTCAAGAAGTAGTTAAATATGCTTCTTAGGATATAGATATATGTATGTATTTTCTCTCATACCTCTAACTAGAAAGCATATCAACTGAGCTCTCTACGTACTATGGATATGTAGGGGTTTTGCTAAGCTTCCAATATTCATAAATGAAGGAGAGTACTTATAGCAAGTCCATGTTCCAGTCCGATTGTAAATCTCCAGCAGGAAAAGTTCTCTAACAATATGCAGATAGAAATACTAAATTTTGTTTTTTTGGTATGGCCCCAAATGCACTCATCTCCTAAATCCCAACACAGTATACAAATATATAGAGAATATACACATATATGCTTTCCCAATTCCAATTCACTCACTTCGCTCAAAGCCAATATGCCCGCTTGCCCCATCTGAAGCAGCATAAAAATGCCCGAAATTGAATTGCCCAAAAATTTGTTTGTGCAATCCGTACAGAAGCCGCACAAAGGTGCGAACTACTTGTGCCGATGGGGGCGGGGCGGCAGCAGGGCGAAGTTGCGACTGTTAACCCTCTTGACAAGAGCCGCTTCATAATAAGTAATACATGTTTTGTTGCGTACAAGTGTTTGGCCAAAAAAAAAAAAAAAAAAGAGAGTGAGAGAGAAAAAAAATAAAGAAAGGAAAAGGGTCGAGTTTTTATGGCTGACGCCTTTTTTACGCCTCTGCTTTGTGCGGGGGAATTAGAAGTGTGAAGCAAAAATGTTGTTGAATTTAACAGGCTTTAAAAAAGAGCGAATGAAATGAAATTCAATAAAAGCTAAGCGAAAGGCCCATGAAAATAAGCGCGATAAACAAAAGCCAGTGCAACTGAAACTAATAAATTGTTTGTCAAATTCAACAAATCACAAGGAGAGTCAAAGGGAGAGAAAGAGAGAGAGAGAGAGGGAGATGTACACACACACACACACACACACACACACACACACACACATTCAGCTCGTTTGAAACGTTAGCGGAAATCATTTAAGCTGCCAAATCAGCCAAGCAGCTGGGCCAAAGAGCTGCCGTCAAGCCGTACGTATTATTAAGGTAGTCGACTGCGGCTACGACTACCCGGCGGAGGCCGTGTGGCCAGATGCCAAAGCAGAGAAAAGAAAAGAGAAGAGAGACCAACGAGACGATTAATATTCATTCAGTGTCGCGCGTATATCACTTTTTATTTGCACAGGCAACGGACGAGCGCCGGCAAGTATGCAATGGAATTCGCCGCACGCAGCAGCAGGTGAGCAGCGCTCGCGTGTGTGTGTGTGTGTGTGTGTGTGTGGCGCGCGTGTTGATGTGTATGAGTAACGCACAATTACATACAACAATTTGTGCTTTGTTTCTGTGCACGTCCATGCGACTACGGAGCGCCCCAAACTCCCAAATCACCAAAGAGCATTCGTGCTGCAGACCGAAAAGCGCCAAAAGCCCAAGCAAAGGCAGAGGCAGGAGCAGGGGCAGGAAAAGGGCCAGTGGCAGTGGCAGGCTAAGCTAGGCTAGGCCAGTGCCGGCACACGACTCGCTGCTGTCTGCCTTACTGACTGTCGTCCCGCCCCGCCCCACCGGTGGGAGGAGCACTTCAAATTGGATGGCCAAACATCAAGTTGCAGTTGCAGTTCGATGCTTTAGCCAGAATTTTTCTATGTTTCCATGTGAAAATTGAGAGAAATTGCCAAACGACTTGGTAAGCGATATTCTGTTTTGACAAGCCAACACACTCGGGATGGCCCAGCCAGCTGGCATTGTGCTGCTGCTTGAACCTGAGCTGGCAGGTGTGCAGCTACACCTGCTGCTGCTGTTGCTTTAGCCACTTGGCAGTGGTTCTTCTTGAGAGCTGGCGCCACTGTTGGAGAGGACATTGCGTCAAATCAAATGAAATTCGACTGCCCGGCGCTCAGTGTTGCGTTACAGCAGCGCAGTCAGGGCCCACAGAATTACCACTGGGATCAGGGCAAATGACGCGAAACAGTCGAAAGGGGGAGAAAGAGAGAGAGAGAGAGACAAAGAAACGACAACGACAACAACAACACGTGCCTTACATAAAAATCGTGCAGGCCATGCTAAACGTTTATCCCTTTTAGCCCCAAGGACCCAACAATGAAAGTCTTCAGTTTCAATGGCTCGTTTAGCCGCTGGCTGCCTTGGCTGCCTTGGCTCCATCTAGGCTGCCTCGTAAGCTGAGACTGATTGTGATGCTGTAGTAAGTCGGATTCTGGATAAATGCCGCATCATTGGTTATTTATATGCGTGCAGCTCTACCTGTATAAGTTTACACACACACACACACACACACACACACACACACACACACACACTTATATATATATAGAAATATATTTATTTGATTCCATTGATGAATGTAGCTGGATTTGCGTCCACTCACAGTGGCTTATGTCCTGTCATTAAGTTAGCCCCAGCAATGTGCATAGTTTCAGTTTAGCTAAGCACATGGCCTAATTGAAGCTCTCTCTCTCTCTCTCACTCTCCTCTCTCTCCCTCTCTCTTTGTGAAATTAATTAAATGGCATTCAAATGATTGGCTACGTGCCATTATTAATTTGCGCATAAATTATGCACATGTCTTAATGCCAAATGATTTCCTTTTTATGGCCAATCACTCGACTTGGCCACAAATTAATCAGCTCGGCCCCAGTGCCTCGCGCTGTGCGTGAATGTACTCGTAAATATTTAAATGCGGCACGTTCGCCACTCGCTCGCATTTGCCAGAGCTCATTAAGAGGCGATTGCTCTGATTTATAGTTAACTCCTTCAAGCGATGCTCACTCACTCATGTTTACCATATCAATAATTGCGCAAATAATTAAGCGTGCCTCAGCTTTGTGAGCTATGAGCTATCTATGCTGATTGAAAACGATTCTAGGAATTCGGCAGAGTGCTAAATACGTACATATACATATGGAAAATGTTATTGAAGATTAGTTATTGATTTTTAGATTTGCAATTAAAAACATATTTATTATTAAATGTGGAATGTTTTAAAAATACATAGTCGTATCATTATTTGAGTGATTTATTTTAGGTAAAAAATTAGCTTGCTGTTGACATTAAAAATGCCAATAAAACATAAATTAGGAAAAGAAAATTTGGGAAAAGAAATTTGTAAAGAGTGGTACGATCATTGTATAAAAATAAGTGGAGAAAGAAAATTTCTAAGAGCAGAGGGATGAGTGATATGATTATGTGTGGATAATGATATAAGATAATGATAATATTATTGGAAATGAGTAATGATTACAAAGTAGTATGTTAGTCTCGAGATATATAATGCATTCAATGTATTGGTGAGAAAGAGATAGAGCATTACTTTTTTCTCTTCATTTAAAAGTTGCTCTTCTTAATAAATGCTTAGAATTTCATATACATACATCTAGGGATTTGAGGATTTGCTATATTTTATAAGTAGATAAATGTATGTAATAAGCAGCTGTTAATATTCAACGGACGATGACCAACGTCCGATGGACAACCATGTATATATACACATACATACATACATACGTATACACAGGCATGTATAAAATACATAAGTTGGATCATTTATTACCTATTAATATGTATATTAATATTGCTGCATTTAAGGCAATCAACCAAGATTAATTTAATAAGAAATACTTAAAAAACTTATATGAGTCTCTAGTAGTATTTATATATTATTATTGTATGTTTCATATACATATATATACATATGTATAAACAAGATCTTAGAGCTCTTGAGCCTAACCATATTGCAATTAGAGTTGAAGCCTCAGCTGAAGTTTGAGCTAGTCATTCGTCGGTTGCTCTTGTTTTCCAATTTAGCTGTGGCCCTTGGCCCTTGCAGACCCTCGTCTAGGCCTTCGCCAGTGTGTATGTGTGTGTGTGTGTGTGTCTTGGGCTGACAGTGCGTGGTTTCTGGCTCAAGGATTTATGTGCTGTGCGGCAGATTTATGTGTTTTTGGCTGTGAAACTGAGAGTGGTTGTGCGAAAGCGACTAGAGAACTGTGCTAATTGAGTGGAGCAATGAATATGACTCAAGCCATGCCCGCAGGCAGAGGAGCAACTAGAGGCTGAGGCAGAGCGCCCAGTGAAGTGCTGCAGTGCAGCAGCGAGTGGCGGCCACAGTCCTTGATTGGCCAATGCCGATTGCATGTTGGCGCTGCAACCGACAACAGGCAGCAACATGCCTGCCGCAACCGCGTTCGACTGCAGTTAACAGCCGGCGGCAGGCCGACGCCTGCGCGCCGCAACGTAAACAAATGTTAAGCCAAATGCCGGCAAGTGTACCCAGTAACAGGGGCAGCGTTGCCAGCTGCGAGCGTGAATGCCAGAAGCTTGGGCAAGAGCAACAAAGAATACTGGTTTTCGACGAGGCCAGCCGAGGGCGAGAGAACGAAAGCCAGGCCGAACGCACGAAGCTGTCAGCGCCAGCAGAGGCAGAGGCAGAGACAGCAGCAGCGACAGCGACAGCGACTCTAGCAGAAACCAGAAACAGTTTCAGTTTGTGCTACAAACGCGTTTTGAACGGTACATGTTGCATGTGACGCGCATTCGTTGAGTGAGAGAATCGAAGCATAGAAACCAGAATAAACTCGTATCGAACTCTGAGACATAAACAATCTGAACTACCTGAAGTGAAGGTGTGCAAAAGCTAAAATACATGTGAAACTAACAACAGCCAAAAAAGTAATAAAATAATAATAAAAAATATATATAGAATCAAGTCTGTGTTTAGTGCGAAAAAGACGAAATTAGTGGACAAAGACAGCGTCAACTGTGAACTGTAAAATTGTGAATTGCCAAGCACACGAAAGCAAGGTGAATATATCAGCAATATGCCCAAATAAATATATACATATGTGTGTGTGTGTGTGTATGTATATGTTAATGTGTGTGCCACAACCTGAAATTCTGTTGGTCCCTTGTAAAGTATTTGGTTGTTGCAGTTGTTGTTGTTGCAACTTGCAGCGTCAGTTGCTGCTCAACGGCTCAGCCCGTTCTGAAGCCGTTCAGTACTCGATGCTCGCGTCGACTGGCGTGGAATCGAATCGAGTCGAGGTACCTGTTTGCATTTTGGCCGCTTTTATAGCCCCGTTCGCCATTTCATGAACTTGGAGTCGTTTTGCATTTGGCCGCGCTGACCAGTTGGACCAGCTCTGGGCCAGCCTTTGTTGAAAAACACTTTTCATGTGTCGCTCGATCGCAGCGCTTCTCATGCTAATTGCACATAAATGCCAATTGCATGTTTGCGCTCTCTATCTCCCTCTCTTTCTCTCTCTCTCTGTCTGTCTCTCTATTGAATTGAAAAAGTCATAAATTGTCTATGCATAAATCCAAATTGTTATTGCCACTTAGCAACGCGAAAAAGAGCTGGCCAAATGCACAAGAAACAAATAAAATAAAGTAAAGAGCAAAGTGGAAGTAAGAATAAAAACTGCATAATCTGCAAGCAGCCAGCGGGCCAGCACCTGGTGGCAGCAACAACAAAGAAAACGGCTAAAATGCAAGCCAGACAAAAAAAGAACTGGACAAAGGCAGGGGGAGAGGCAGGGGCAGCGGCAGAGGCAGCGGCATCGCATGCCGAGGTCATTTTATCTTGCCCTTCCCGCACGAACTTCAAAAGCATTTCAAGCTGCGTCGTCTGTTTTTGGTCATTATGAAAAGAAAATATGCGGCAACAACTGCGACAGCGGCACAGCTCAAAAGAACGCTAAAAATAAAATTAAAAAAAAAAAGAAACAAGGGAAGAAAATCACATGCAGCGCGCAAAAAATTTGTAAAACTGAGAAATAGTTAAACAAAGCAACTAATGCGGCAATCTCCTCGTCTGGCTCCTGCTCTGCTCTGCTTTTGGCGCCCAATTGCGACAGCAGCTGCCAATCAGCGTGTTTGGGCCATGTTGCATGTCCGTTGGCTCGCAACATATGCCAATTCAATATTCTCTGCAGCTAAAGTCTTGCTAAATTCTAGTCAAATTGTTGTAATTGTGCGATAATAGGGCAAAGTTATTTGCATAAATAAGCAACTGCCTTTACTTTACCTTACAGAAAAAAAGACTATTTCTGATGGGCGAAACCTTTATGCTCTTGGCATACATGTGCGGGTCGTAGCTAGGGAATATGCAGAATATAGCTAGGCTTTTGATACTCTAAGAATAATAGATAATGAAACAATATTATAGTGCAGATTGTCTTGGGCAGCATGCAAAGGTTTAATTTTTGGTTTAATAATAATAATAATAATAATAATAATAATATGTAATAATAATGTAATATATAGTTGAGTATTATGTAGTCTTGAGTAGGTCTGTGAAACGTATTTAGTTTTAGATATTTTTACGATGCTTGAAATCATTTTATTTATACATATATTATATATATATTATGCATATCATTTTATTTAATTTTTAATTTATAATAATTTTCAATTATTGTATAAAAAATAAATAAAATATTTTATAATTATTTTTCTTAAGTTTTATTTTTTTATTTTGAATTTTATTAATAATAATAAATAAAAAAAAATATTTAAAATTATTTATTAATTTATTTAAGCTTTAAAATCCATTTTTAATGGTTTTATAATTTCTTTTAATTTTGTATGCAATGTATTGAAAAGTCTTGTATAATTTATGATATTCTAAATATACATAATACAAAAATAGTTAATTTATAATTTATTTTTATACACATTACACAAGTGATGACAAAATGAATATATCCTCCATTCGTAGAGTATAGAGTAGGGAATGAATATTGTACGAGAGCAGCAAGGGAATTGCTTCAATTCGTAGCTCCAGCAATTGGCCGCGATTACCGCTTATAATAATAACTTCACATTCAATTATGGAGCACGGAGCACGGAGCGGGCCAACAAAGACATTTGCTGATCATTAAACGAATGAAGCAATTATTTTATTATTCTTGCATATTTGATTCAGGAGAATCGACAAATTTTCTATTGTTGAGAGTATAACAAAGTGCTTTTGTATGCTAGACATGTGTTTGTTTATATTATGTATATATAAATGTATGTAGATATATGTATATGATAATTTATTGACTTGGGATGAGTTTATTCTAATATTATAACAAAATTTGTTACGGACTTATACATGGGCGTGTTTCTCTGCTTAAATAAATAATATAAATTACTAATCCAAATTAGCATCAGAATGGGAAGTGGAATTATGTGATGGGTTTTTCATATATCTCTTACATTTTTATTACTGAAAGTCAAATAGCTTTACTTGGCTTATATTTTATATGATTATATTTTTTCCTTATTATCAGAATGCTGTTATAAATGAATTAAATAATTCTTTTAAATTTAATCTGCTTCTACAAATTAATCAATTTCATAATTTAGGTGCTCTATTTAGTTAGATTCTTTCCTTTAACTGCCAACATAAATCAAAATTTTAGCAACAATTATTCTATAATTATTGCTCTTAGATTCCAATTTCAATGAGCTGTAAATAAACTTCTGCATAAACTCACTCTTCGATAAGTTGGCTTATCTAGACAGCTCTCTCTCTCTACTACAACTCGAATGTATTGACATATCTCCCTAATATCTTCAACCCTCTGAGCTTAAATTCACCCTGCTGTTGTAACGGTTGTTGATCAAAACAATCATACATACTATATACGATTCACAGTTGTATTGCCTCGAAATAGTTGAACTATAATAAGCTAACTCTGGCTCGAGGCTTATCGATTCCACATTCTGGCCAAGTTAATGTTTTCATTGCGTTTACAGGAAATGCCGTGTCCTTTTTTTTCGTTTTGCTGCCTCCCAATATCAAAAGAGAAATACGAAATTACGCCTAATGGTTTTTTAATTGTAACAATAATTGCTGTCGCCATTGCATGAGCAGCTCTCCCAAAAAAAAAAAGAAATAAAAGCGAAACTCAAGCGGCGAAAGCTAAAGGCGAAGTTTAGATACCCTTCTGAAGGGGTAAGGGAGGTAATGTTTGGTGGTTGTGTTAATAAATGAGATAGTTATATGTTATAATAATAAGTGTAGACGGATATAAATAAATATGTTACGACTCGAATACATTTAAAATTATAATACAAATATATGCATTATCTACATATGCTTATTTATATATCTCTAAAATATATATATTAATATGATTATATATTTATAGACTCATAGATCAAACAAAAGCTTAAAATAGAATATAGATCAGCCGCTATATATAAATATAAATTGGAAAATATGTAAGGACTGAGAATATTGCTGGGCCTGAAAGATATGAAATTTACTAAAAGACAAAATTTATATAAAATATATAAAAAAAATCAAATATACTCCACATAAATAGTTCATATACTTTGCCAAGTCGAAGCTGTTTTATAAAATGCCTTTGCTCAAGAATTATCTAAACTAGCCAACAAAAATACTCAGCTAAAGGTCAGCCAGACATTTATAATAATAATAGTATCGTATATCATCTCTTCAAAATCAGAATACCCATTTAGGGCTAGTGTAGCAAAAAGGCTAGCAACAAGCTTGGCAAGTGTTTAGCTGGCTGTGAATTGACCAGAAAGGGGGAAAAAAAGAACAGAAAAAAAAAACAGAAACACATTGAATTCGCGGGAAATGCTCGACACATAATCGCTCATTTGGGCTAGTCTGGCCACACAGACGAGTGCGTGTGTGTGCGTGTCTATAATTAAGCCTAAAAGTGCTGGCCTATGCCTTTTTTATGAGCCAACTGTCCTGGCTAGGCTCCAGCTTACTGACTTTTGCTGCTAAAATCTCGCTTTGTTATTTTATTATTTTGCTTTTGCTACTCCTGGCCGAAACTGGCCTTTGTGGCAAGCAGTTGATTATGAGCATTTTGTGTAGCTGTTGCCGGCATTCCTGATGTGGCACAGTCTTTTCTATGTTTCTCCTTTCCTTGTTTTTTTTTTTTTTTTTTTTTTTTTTTTGGGTTAGCTGGCATCGCACACACTCGGCTGTGCGTTGCTGCGGTCTCTAATGTGCGCCATTTTGGTTTTAAACGTAAGTGTGTCTGAGTGTGTGTGCTTGTGTGTGTTAGCTGCTTCTTTGTTGCCACATTTGCCCAGAGGTCATTATAGACGCCTCGCCCGTTGCTCATACGCGATGTAGCCGGCAACTTCCGCTGCCGCTGCCTCTGCCTCTGCCTCTGGCTCTGTCGCTGCCTCTGCCTCTGCCGTCGGCTCTGTCTCAGCTGCTTTGCCTCTGGCCTCTAAAGTGGCAATTTGTCTACTTTTGTAAGCGCCTCTTTTAACGATAATGATGATTGCGCTCTGTTGCGTTTTTATTTCACTGCACACACACACTCGACACTCGCCACACACACACACATGCAGATCCAACTGTGTGTGGTCAAGCGTCCAAATAACCTGAAACCGAGTCCATTTTCGCTAGCTCGAGCTTTGTTTTGCTTTCATTTTGCGGGCACATTCGTTCTCTGTTTGTCTCTTTTGCCACGTTATTTGCTTAGAATTTTTCGATTTCCATTCGCATTCGCTGTCCGTCCGTCCGCCTGCCTGCAGCCGGTTCATTCAGTTTTGCGAGTGGCTTAGCTCAGACAGACGCAGGTTTTAACATTTCATTTCATTTCATTTTTTTTTGCTATCTTTTTACTTTTTTTGTTTCTATTTCCGTCAACGTCTGTCGAGCTGCACTGAGCTGGGCTGAGCTGAGCCGAGTTGATGTCCTGCTATGCCTTTTTTCGCACTCTGTGGCTGCCGTGTCGTCGCCATTGTTAATTTTTATATAGACAAACATATAGATATACATGTACATATACATATACATACGTGTACGGTTATTTTCC